AACACAAAATTAACATTCGCTGAACGTTTTCATGTTACTTGGGTAGTTCAACATGTTAGATCAGTGTTTGGGGTCTAACATAAAACATGTCAAACACAAAATTAACATTCGCTGAACGTTTTCATGTTACTTGGGATCTTGCTTACTAAATCTTGGAAAATATTCTTCTTTTTATTGTAAGTTGCTACTAGTTGTGTTAGTAACGTGTACAAAACAACTTTTCTTAAAAACACTATATATGATATTTACGAGCACTTTTGTAAAACTAGATATGGCAAGTAAATTTTTCTGATCTCGATTCTTTAGTAATTTCATTGGTTTTAAAATTTTTAATTGCAATTTTATCTTATGTATAGGAAATATGGTAGTTTTAAATAAGTTTTCTTATATTTATTTAATCGTCATTGCATTCAGTTTATAAATATAATATCTTTTATTTAAAATGAGCGTTTGGGATAAATTGACTCAAATTGAGACGGGATAAGTTGTCATACGGTGAGCATGCGCGAAGAAGTAATCGCAGTGATCGTTATGCGTCGTTATAACTTTTTCAGTACCTGTCATTATTGTTTTTATTAAAGATTAGGTTACTAATTATGTTTTATAGTTTTTAACTGATTTAGTATTGTGAAATCATTTAAAGTTGTTTTTATATATATATATATATATATATGATTATTAATATTGTATAAATACTTTATACTTAATGTATAATGTTATGTACTCTCAATAAATTTAATAAAATAAAAAACATAAATTTTATCTTATTGTTTCTTTGTATAAAAGACATGTGACAATTAACCCTGGGTATGGAGCAGGTTGCCAAATCTGCACGATTGTACTTTACATTAAAATACTCTTGTGTAAAGATATATAAGAATAATATTTGTTTTTTCTTAAAGCTAAAAAATGTGACTATTATATAATGTACCTAATATTACATAATATTGCGTACATTTTTTTTTACAATCTATTTTGGATGTTATGCTTTGTGCCCCGGTCTCCCCTAAAACATAATATTTTTCTATAGTGAGCACATTGTATAAATCCTCTATTTTTACAAATGCACCGTTTTTTAACTACAGTAATTGGAAAACAAATTTTATTCATATTTAACAAAGATGGCAAAAATATTAAATAACTTATTTCTTTATTGTTTAAATAACATTTTATAAATTACACAACTTTAAAAGCATTGAAAATCAATAAATTTCATAATTTTTTAATTTAATTAATTTTATAATAAAATATAATTAGGTTTTTAATAAAAACATTGACTTTTTAGACAAAATAAATAAAAATTATGTATGCCAATACGCTTACACAATATAATACAGTACAAATATAAAAAAAGAAATTCGAAAAAAATGAGATTTGAACTAGCAATACGCAAAGTAGTAGTCGGGTGCCTTACTCACTAAGCCACGCCGTTTAGATGTCAAACTGTCCTAACTTAACGCTATATTACGCGCACGGAAAATTTTAAATGTTTTTCTCTCGAGAATGCTTGAGAGGTGCGTTCTATTATTCCACCACGATGTAGTGGAGGGTCCACCTACAATATAAGACTTGTCCAAATCGGAGGGGAACATCTCTGAAGGTCCCCCTGTAAAATATTCTCAATTTCAAACAATGATAGTATAATATAGTGAAGTTTAATATGAATTGTAGTTATCTTATATTATCTTATTTAATAACTCAGTTTTTTGTTAATATCTCTGAAATAAAGCCGAGCGGTGATCATATGTATAAGGAAAAATTGTTCAGAATGTTGACCTTGACAACATATTTCAAGCTCATCAAAATCGGTGAGAAAGCTTTTAATCTAAATAATTACAATATTTTAAATGATCAAGTTAAAGGAAATACCCTGTTTATTTTATTCTGTTTTTGCACAACGGACTATATTTTGTTTTGAGTAATTTTCCGCTAATTCAAGCATTGTTCATTTAAGCATCACACGTTACTGACGGCCATCAATCATCTTGTTTCAGATATCGTGGATCCGGCGACGTGACTTTCACGTCTTAACAAGCTCTATGTTTACATACACGAACGACGAGCGATTTCAAGTGTTGCATCCCGAGGGTTCGGACGATTGGACCCTTCAAATAAAATATGTCCAAGAAAGAGACAACGGGACGTACGAATGCCAGGTAACGTACCTTATCATATGAACTGCCTTGTTTATTAAATGATTAATTTAACGTGCTTTGACAAGAAAGTATTTCCCTAACTTTTATCAAACGCGTTATGTGCCACTTCTTCGATGTTGCTCACTCTGGCCACTTTATTTGTTTATTCATATTGTTTGTTATTTCCTCTTTTTTCTCCAGTTTTATTCTTCCGAGAGAAAAGAAATTGGCAAGTTTGCGCTCACGACCGATCGTGCATGCGCTTTATAATTTATCATTGTTAATATTATTTTCTCTTTGTGGAAAGATAATTAATATTATTCTTTTCGCAACATAACACTGCGTCTTTCTATTATAACATGCAAATTGATATCTTCAAATCGGATGTACATTTCAATTGGTAAATATTCAGAAAAACGGAGCACCCTCTGAAGTCAATGACCTTGACATATGTTGTCAAGAACATCTCCTTGAACAACAATCTGCAACTTTTACCCGTTGCTCGTTGTTTGTTAAAAAATTATAAACAAAAGAAGTTGCGTCAATAAACTGTTATTTTCCGGCACCGTGTACATTTTGTTTGTGTTGTAAGCGTAGGCAGGGGAGGGCTGCGCCCCTCCGCAGGGGGAGGGGTTTTACCCCTCCTCCCTGCTCTCCCCTCACGAAAAAATGAAAAATTCAATTAAGTGTCGCTTTATGTCAAGATTGTTTACTTGACATGAAGTGGAATATTACTTCGCATATCTCGCCAAATTCTTTCGATATTTTGCTTGTGACAATTAGTATGAGGATCTACGAAATTTTTTTTGTGACTTACTGTATGGTGAGTGTAACGTGCATATTGATTGAGTAAACAATTATGACATGAAGCGACTTGATTGAATTTTTTATTTTTTCTCGAGGAGAGAGCAGGGGGGAGGGGCAAAGCTCCCCCTGCCTACACGCTTATAACACGAACAAAACGTACACGGTGTCGGAAAATAAGAGTTCATTTATGATATTTCTTTTGTTTATAAATTTTTAACAAACAACGAGCGACGGCTAAAAGTTGCAGATTGTTGTTCAGGGAGGTGTCCTTGATAACATATGTCAAGGTCATTGACTTCCGAAGGTGCTCCGTTTTTCTGAATATTGACCTACTTTTTCAGAGAACTTATAACAAATATTTCTACAATATCTAAATCTACAATATAAAGGAAATTATATGTATCAAATTATAACAAATATTTTTCCACAATTGTTCTCTACAAAATCGTTCCTATAAAAGTACTGATATAATAACACAAAGTACTAAGAAATCATACGTATGGTATACAATAATAGCAGTACATCTATTGGGCACCAAAAACTATTAAAAAAGTGCAGTTGCGCAAGTTTTTGTGTATTAAATACCTTATATTTATCTATATAGGTCTTTGACTTTTCAAAAAGCAAAGTCTATAGATGTACAATTTTATATAGAGTTAAAACTTTACACGCAAAGTGAGGTCTATCTCACCTTTCTCCCTTCTTTACTAGGTGTATTACTACTATCTGTATAACATACGTATGATTTCTTAGTTGGTGCTATTGTGCTATTATATCAGTTTTTTTATAGAAACAATTTTGTAGAAGACAATTGTGTGTGGATACATATTTGTTATAATTTGATATATATCACTTTTTTGTAGATTTGAATACCGTAAAAATATTTGTTATAAGTTCTTTGAAAGAGTATTATATAGAAAGAGTATTATATAATGGACAATAATACTGTGATTTAGAGATATATAAAATAGATTTTTTTTGTATAGAACTAAAAAAAGTTTGAGTTTAGATTTTTTAATTTAAGGTAATTCAAGTATAATACAATATGTTTCGTGCGTGTATTTGACGCCTTTTATTATCTCTTTTTGAAAAAGTAAGTTTTTTGAGATATCACACATTTTTCCAATTTGTTCGCCAATTATATGTAATACGTACACACACATATTCATACATACATACAAGATGTAACAGAAAAGTTGAAACTTCTGAATATCTCGGAAACTATAAGTTTCACAGAAAAGTGTTTTAAATAAAAGTTGTAGAGTTTAAAAAGATTTATTTACTGATTTTATCAATTTGATCGTATATGACGTTTCCAAGAGCAAGTCTAGGTTATATGAATCTTTTTAGAGCAAGCAGAACTTTATACTTTTTATCACATATTCTTGTAACTTAATTCAAGAGCTTTCCAAAACACTATAATGAAGTTTAGTTTCATTAAGTACTTTTTGAGTTATGAGAATTGAATGTCAGAGTACCGCCGAATGGGATGTAGTACATCTTGATATTAGTATTATTCAAGATGTACTACATTTCAAGTAAAAATTACTGATACTGACAACCGGACCAGCTATAGGTCCATTCTTGGGCTATCAAAGTTTGGTAATCGGGACTAGTACAAGTCTAGGACAATGGTCAAATCCGGTCATCTGCCATGTTTGGTGTACGGTGTTCAGCCAGACATGAAATCACTTTAAATAAAATCATCATATACAATAAAAAATAAATTATTGTTTAAAAAGAGACGAAAGGCTCCAAATATTCAAATTAAATCAGAGGTGAAGGGCCAGTACAAGTCTCAGACACAGATATTAATGTCTAAAAAACTAATATTTATTGACAGTAATTTACGTTTTGATTTGTTACTTTGAATCCTCTTCAGAATAACAGACAAAGTACAACAATAAAATGTAGAACTACAAAACATAAAAAATAATTAAACAATTCAAAATGGCCATATTTACAAACGTAGCAATCACCATACGACCTGCCGATCTCTCACGCTTTTTGACAAAAAACATCATAGTGCTTATTTCGGTTGACTCATTTTATTGACTTATCTTTTATTCCTAAAAATTACTGTTTTAGTACTGTCTATCGTTACTTTTTGTTTTTGGAAGCATATTAATATCTGCTGGATTTACATATGAGTTTCTCTGCCAATACATTTGTAGCATCGTGAGAGATCAACAGATCGTGTGATAATTGCTACGTTTGTAATTGTGGCCATTTTTAATTGTTTTATTATTTTATATATTTTTTAGTTTTACATCTTATTGTTATACTTTGTAATTGTATACGTCTGTTATTCTAAAGAGTATTTAAATTAACAAATCAAAACGTGAATTACATTAAACATTAGTTTTCTACACACTACTATTTGTATCAGAGGCTCGTACTGGTTTTCGACCTCTAATTTAATTATATTTAATATTGTTGCAAAGATTTCTTCACATGCGTTATAAAAATGTACTTTAAATTATATTTAATAATAATAAGAGAAATATTTTTATCTAGTATTGCAGGTACATTGCACTGCTATATTTTTTACAAAATAATACTTTAAACAAATAATAGATAAAATGTGTAAGATAGCTTGAGAATAAGTAAATAAAAAATAATTATTAAACAATTTTAAAGCTCTTGAAATTCAAACAACGTAAAATTTTTGGTTAATGAGAGCCATACGCTGGATGTGTGTCGCGTATTTTGTATATATATATATATATACCCGAATAATTGATTATTGCTTTGAATTGGCCACAAGGAATCGGTTGCTCGAAGAATTTCATCATTACTTAAAGATTTACTTGCTTCTCTTCAATATCCTACGAATCATATTATCTCTTGTAGTTGGACGTTCACGATACACTAACAAGGGAACCTCGCGAACCCGAAAATTCTGATTTTGATGAAACTTTGCATACATGTAAAGAGGGTCAATAGATGAATATTGACATTTTCCATTGCTGCCCAAAAACGGTTTTAAGGGATAAACTCACCCCTCATATGTAGAGCGGCTTTTCACTTTTCTCAATTTATCTCGAAAATGCTTAGAGATATTAAAAAATGGTTTGTACAAAAATTTTATAGAAAAAAGTCCTCTATTTATTTATATTAATAGAATTTAAACAAAACAAAAAAATTTTGAAAAATTGTTTAACAAAAATATTAAAAACATTTTTTTTAACACTTCTATTAATGTAGGTAAATAGAGGTGTTTTTCCCATAAAACTTTTATATAAAACATTTTTTGATATCTTTAATAGTTTTCGAGATACATCGAGAAAAAAACGCAAAACCGTGTTATACATGATAAGTGTTTCACTCTTTAGAATCGGTTTTAGNCCGCCACTGAAAATTTCTACATTCATGTAGTTATTTATACATGTGTACAAAGTTTTATCGTACGAACATCTCTATGTAATTGCACATTAATACACTTTTGAAATAAGTTGTTTCTAAAATTTAATTTTAGCATCTTTTATATAAGGAACTATTTTGCGGTATATATTACGATAAAGATAGTAATTTTTTAAATAAAGATACTTTTATTCTTTGAATATTTCAAGTCATGTTGCAGTGCAACGTGACTTGAGAGATTATTGAGCATTTTCATATTGCAGTCTTTATATTGCATATTGTATATGTAATGTATCACGCACATATCACACACTTCCTTAAGCACAGTGCGGAGTAGTCATGCACATTATACGTGAAAATAGTTTGCAATAATTTTCCATAATCAAATACTTTGACAAAAGGAAAATTTAAATAATTTTAACACACGAATTGAATGCTATATCTGAATTTTACTTTTCTGACCTTATTGACTAACACATAAAATTTCAGTATAACATCTCGAAAATTTATTTTACGGTCTATTATATTTTTGTGGGAGTAACTGGGAAAGAGAAGAGATAGTACAAGTAAAAGAAGATAGTGCGTGTGTGGCCCTAAAAGATCGGGGCGCGCAAGTAGAAAAGGAATTCCACGAGTTGTTCCGACTGCCGGAACATTTCTGTAAGCGATCATGGGAGGCCATTCCATGCAGCCTGACATACACCCTGCCCATCACTTTGTTCGAATGGCTGAACTATGTCAATGAAGTGATGAAATTTTTGTGTGAGGACCAAAGAGGGATGATGAGAATCAGAGGATCAACTGAGGATGGAGAAGGAGCTTTTGTTGATGTCACTGTCCACGGATTCGTGGAAGGACTACGAACGCTGCTG